TTCCTGCCAGGATTGCTCCTCCGTAACTGCTGCACTGGGCACAGGCTCAGTCCTGCAGGCACCACAGCACGTTAGGGGGACCCATGGGTCCAATTTGGATCAGAAGACAATATACAACTTGCTCCCCAAAAGTACCAGATGTAAAACACAACATGGTTTTATTGCCAGCTACAGAGATAATGGAGTGGAAGGACAGAAGGAAGGACAGGAAAGCAAGGAAGGACAGAAGGGAACAGGCAGATCTGTGTCTCGGGCTCTGCAGTACTCTCCTGAGTGCAGCAGCCTCAGCACAGCCCTGTGCTCAGAGCTGCCAGATCACATCCTGCCACAGCAACGAGGCCTAGGCATTCATTTTTGCTTAAGGCAATTAAATGTTATTAATTACAGTAAGTAATTTGCTGCTCACTTGAGTTCATGTCGTTCACTTTAATCAGACTCACCTGATCTAAGAATGAACCTGAAGTATTCTGGCAGCCCTGAGGCAGCAAAGGAACATAAAAACCAGCATGTGCCAACCAGGAAAAGGACTGGAGGAGAACAGGAGCCTGAAAGCCAGTGAGCACTAACCAGCACTGCCCAGCCCAAGGGATAACACCACAGATAGAAGGAACACATACGTATTTTTCTTCAAACTTCCTAGCAAGAGCCTCCACTTTATGCCTTTCCTTCTCCTCATTGTTGAAGGGATCAGCTGGTTCTTTCTTCTGTAGAAACAAGACAGACACAGACATCAGAGTCAATCCTGCTGCCACCAAAATATCATGAATTAGACCCATCCCAACTGGAACATCTGGGCAGAAGCTCAGACAACCCAGCCCTTAGGACAGTGTTTGGTACAGCCACAGTACCAATCCAGGCTGGGGATGAAGAGCAGCCCTGGAGGAAGGACTGAGGGGTGTTGGTGGATGAGAGGCTGAACATCACCCAGCTCAGAACGCCCTAAGTGCTGGGCTGATCTCAGTGTGGGCAGCAGGTCAGGGAGGGATTCTGCCTCTCTGCCCTCACCTGCAGTGCTGCCTCCCACCTTCCTCCCACCTCACAGCACCTCACAGCAGGCCCAGCACCAGCTCTCAAGCACCCCCAAACCAGCCTCTGAAACCTTCAGCTACCAGTCGAGTTCCTCAGAGCCAGGAGGACACTCACCTTGTCACCCGAGGAACCCCCTTTCACCTTCCCTCGGCAGCTCTTGAGGAGGTCTGGGTAGAAGAACTCGGGGCAGCGCTTGTGGTCGGGCTCGAAGAGGGTGAGGGTGATGCGCACGGCCGTGGCCGCGGCCTCGGGCTCCGGGGGCTGCTCGTCCTCCTTCCGCGACCTCTTCAGGAAGCTGCTGCTCAGGGGCCCGTGCAGCGTGGTGAACGACACCCTGTGGGGCTCTGTCATGGCTCTGCCCAGCTCCAACAGCCCTCACGGCATCGTTCCCATCATGTGGGCAGAGCGGGAGGATCCCACGGGACGGGGAGGACCACGGAGCAGCCTGGTAGGGAACGAGGCCTTTGGTTTTGGAGCTCTCTTGAGAAGGGAGACAGGGCCGTGTTCTGAGGGTTCGCTGCAATTGGTGGAAAGAAAGGAAGAGGTATGTCAACTCTGGCACCAGAATTGCCTCTGTTATCCCTCCTGTCCATCCCCAGCTCTACTGGCAAGGGCAGAAGCAAATCCAGCAGCCAGGGAAACAAAATGACCCACCAGACTAGCTGGGACATGGCCAGCACCCCGGGCATGAACACCAATGCAGGGCTGCACTGCCCCAGGCAGGGGCTGCACCT